TGCTACAAAACAGAAAAAATAAATATCGAAATATTAGTGACGATTTTACATATTTATAGTACATAGCAATTTATTCTGAGATCAAGGGGAATGTTTTATGTAGAAATTATTTTATAAAAACGATTCAGATAATTTCTTATTGATCATCTGCATCGATACATAGTACTGGACGGAGCATTAGCATCGAAATCATCTTAACCTAGAAAAAGAGTTCGATCGATAGGACAATAGTAGAAAGAAAGTTCCGTGCCCAAACATTTATCTTTCTCTTTCTAGGTTCGCAAGACGAAAGATCAAAGATATTTCGCTGCATGCTCCATTCAGTACTATATGTCGATGGTCATTTGTATGTTAACGTGCATTAATGTTAGTAAAATATTTTCATTTGTACCAAAGTGATAAATGTCTGGAGCACCATGAAAATAAGTTCCAATACCATGACCCAAAAATGCGGGTATTACATTCAAATTGTGTTCATTTGCTGTCTTTTCTATCACGTTACCTATAGAAAGAAATAGAAAAATTTTATAGTACTAAACGAAAAATAACATCATACAGATAAGTTCAGATTTTAATGATATACATATTATTACCAATATTACAAAACTGCTCGTTTGGTTTGCATATTTCAATAGCTGACTTTAAGCACAATTCTGTAACTGTTATTAATCGTTTGCCTTCTGAGTCTACTTCACCCACTTGAAACATAGCTGAACAGTCGCCATGATAACCATTAAGATATACCTACTTAAACAAAAAATATTGACTTTTTAAAGAACTTGTAACATTTTATCGAACAGAAAAAAAGATCTCATTTTCTTTTAAAAAATAAAGTTACTCACTGTTATATCAACATTGAGTATATCACCTTCTTGTAAAGGTCTATTGTCTGGAATACCATGGCAAGCGATGTTGTTAACACTTGTACATATAGATTTGGGAAAGCCATGGTAGTTGAGTGGACTGGGATAAGCTCCGTTTCCAATGATCATATCATGAACTTGTTTATCGAGAAAATCAGTTGTAATACCTGGCTAGCATATATTAATTTTGTTTTATATTTAGTTTATTATAATATTTAATGCATAAATGTATATCTGAAAGCTATTGATAATTCCTGAGGATACATTCCAAAAACCAAAAAGAAAAAAAAATATATATATATAAATAGTTACTTTTTTAAAATATTATTTCTTAATTATATATTGATTTTCAACATACATGTAACAATCCTTACACAGATTTTAATTGCTTAGTGAACGGTAAATTTATATGGACAATTCTTTTTATTCGGTTTATGAAACTTGCAACCCCAAGGCTTGTGCATATCTTTCAGATATTATCAGTACTCCAGATTCGTCACATTCATCTTCATCTAAAAATTCGTTTGTGATTTTAAGCTGATAAGCGAGGCAACATGAATCTGGGCTGTTATATAATATGTAGGAAATAATTCACCTCAATTAATGCGCCAGCTTGACGCAGAATATGACTAGCAAGTTTACAACTGTGCCTCATACATTCTATTTGATATTCATCTTTGATCTCAGGTATTGTTGGCCCTTTTTGAGGTATCATAGACTGACTGTAGGATGGCTGGGGTATGTATGCAGGTACAGTAACTTTTTCAGAAACTACCCAAGGTTGGACTATAGCGTACTTTCCAAAAGAATTGTCATTATGGATATCAACAAAACTGTGTGTGCCTCCAAACTAGAATAAATAACATGTTTTTATAAAGTAATTCAGTTGTTGTTTCTCTCAATAAGTATATTGTTTCATACACGATGAGCATGTTGTATCATTTTATTCTTTCTATTCACCGAATATTAAAGGAGAATAAAATAATATATTATAGGTATCATGTGTTAAATGGAATGCATTCGATAGCTGTATTCCAAAATTTACTGTCAGTACTGAAAATCTATAGTGCACTTAACATAAAATATAGATTTTCAGTGTCGGCAGTAAATTTTAGAACAGAACCAATATCTCTTACAACAGTGTTGTTCAGAATTTGTAATTCTAGTTTGTATCAACATTTATGCTTACTGCTCTAGTAAGAATTATAAATCTACAAATCTTGAAAAGTATTGTCTTACATTATCTGATTAAACTAATCATTAGTCTAACCTATAATAATATAATAATAAATATATCTATTTTTAAATTTATAGATAAAAACGCATACCTTTGACATGGTCTTGAGAAAGTTGAAAAGATACATTTTAGAGGCTTGTACCATTTGAACAATGCCCTTAGTCGAACGCATGTTCCGCGATATTTATTTCGGATAGTTCTTATATATCTCCTGGTTAGTTTCCTTCTCTTATAAAAGACAAAGTGCCAGATTGTTATCGAGATCCGTAAATCGAGCTAGAGTCTCCTCGGGGAACAGACAAATTTTTTGTTTCTTTTCCAATAGAAATTAGTTTGATCTTCTCTCAGAGTCAGCTGATTCGTATATATCAGATAATTGTTTACTTTAGCCACGTCAACTCAGAAATCGATGAAATTAGACTCATTCGGCACGTTTTTGTTGGAAACGAATAAATCTGGCTGAGAAAAGCGCGCGTCGCTCTGTACCGCAAACCAAGATATAATCTCGATTTAAGTCAAAATGGTTAAAATTGACTATTCAGGTTAGGAAATCTATCACAGCCACACATCGTAATCAGTGATGTGAGCATGCGCTGCCTTTATCTTTTTCGTAACTCCGTGAAACCGCGCTTCGCATGGAAAGTTATAAATTCATGAACAATTCCATATGAGTTTACTATTTACTTTTCACTTCTTCTTCGCGTGAGAATGGTCTCGACTCTAACCAGAATAAAAAATGCCGTTTATGCGATGAGTAACAAAAAAATAATATGCAGAATACGAAAGTCTAAAAAGAGTAACATAAACTCCAAAAATAATAACACATCCTATCACGTCGGTAGACACATCGAGACTGTTTACTTTTCACACATAGCAAGAATTAAAGCCCATGGTACAAAAACATAAGGCCGTAACACGTAATCAGTAAGTAAGAATTGCTCAATCACGGTAGAGACCGTAAGGCCAGTAGCGAATCCACTCTTTTCTTACTGCTTATTATTAACATAAATATTTGGCTCATACATTATTAAATTTATGATTTTTCATTATATAAATGTTCCATAAATAAATATGCATACTTGTAAAACTATAATATCTTATATATTGTAAAAAAATA